AATAGTGCTAAATATTTAATATTCCACGATGGCTTGCCACAAATCAAATTGTGAAGAGTTGTAGGCAAACCACCATCTCCCATAGCAGAGGTAAGTTCCACTTTAGCTTTACTGAATCATTTTATTTTCTCTGTTGATTAGCTTTTTACCAAATAATTAATTGGTCTTATTTTCCATGGAGAAGAAATATACATACTGTTTTTTAAAAAAAAGCTGGTCAATTAATTTGTGCTTGAAACTCCCATATCAGAGTGTTTGTTCCTTTGAGTCCATTTTTCTAATTATCCAAGGCTCATTTTCCCTTGTCTTTTCCCAACAATCATCATAATAGCCATCCTGCCTTTAAAAGAAGTAATTTGCATTTCTAGGTTTTTGACTTGCTAATCATGGCCTTTTTTCCTCATGCAATTGCCTCACCTAGACCTAACCAATACAGAGTAATAATAGTTAATAAGAATAAAAATATCACATGCCATGTACTTAGTATATACCATTTGTTAAGCATTTGCATGCCTTATCTCTGATTTTCATATCAACTCTACATGTAGGTATTGTCATCTATTTTAACAATCAGGACAGAGTCAGAGAAGCTCAGTAACTTGATCAACATCACAGAGCTTATTAACCAGCAGAGATGTGATTTAATTCACATCTTTCAGGGTATAAAGTCCATGCACTTTCATGCAGCAACTGCTCAAACACCCATGTGAAAGCTATGCTCACACTGTAGTCTTAAAGTCAAAAGGCTAAAACAGCTATGTGGTGCAGGGGAAAAACAAAACTCTTTAGAGAGCCCTCTAAGCAACTGAATGGAGGCATCAGATAGAAGAGTTTGTTTTGGAGGTCATGACCCACATTTTTTTCCACTAATCTACTATCCAAATCTGAACATTAAAAATTAAGCTAAACCGAGTCAAAATATAAAGAACAAGGAAGCGCATCATCCTAAAGACTTTTTAACTTAAAAAATAATAAATTTAGAGACATAGAAAATTTGCAAAATGTTGTATAAACTTCATCTTTCTTCCCCTAATTTCAGCATCTTATATAACTATAATACAGTGATCAAAATTAAGAACCCAGTAGGAACACAATCCTACTAACTAAAGCATAGACTTAAACTGGAGTTCATCAGTTTTCCCACTACTGACACTTCTCTGTTCCACAATCCAGTCCAGGACCTCACATGGCTTTAGATGCATCTCTCTAATCTGTGAGTTTCCCAGTCCTTCCTTGCCTTTCATGACCTTCCTGCCTTTGAAGAGTATTGGTAAGCTACTACAAAGAATGTCTCTTCATTTTGTCTGATATTTTCTCAGAATTTGAAGGGGGTTAGGCATTTTTATGAAGAACACCCCAGAGGCCATGCCCTTCTCAGTGCATGAATCAGGGGTGTGTGACGTTGTTACCTCTTTTTACTGGTGATGTTAACCTTGATCTCTTGCTTAAAGTGACGTCTGCCAGGTTTCTTCACTGTAAAGTTATTCTTTTACCCTTTGTAATCAAAATGTATCAAGGAGTAGGGGAGGTACTTTGAGACTATGAGAAATATCCTATTTCTCCTCAAGCTTTTGCCCACTAATATCAGCATTCATTCTCGGATCTTGCCCACAATGATTATTACAGTATTCTAATGACAGTTTTCTCATTTCTCTCATTCCTTCTGCATGTATTATTTGCAATTCATTTGTAAGGAAGAGCTGCCCCTTTTCCCTCTTTTACTTATTTATTCTGTTAATCTACGTATATCAGTAGGAACTCATAGAACTTTATTCTAGGGATTATAATTCAGTACTACTGTTATTTATTTTTGCCACTCCTGTTGTTCCAGTTTGGGCCACTGGAAGTTCTTTCAGGTTGGCTCTGTGCCTTTCCTAGGGCCCTATCTTCTAGCTTTATCAGCACTTCCTTACTTTCTGGCTCCAGAAGATGCTTCCGATTCATCTTGAGATTTCCCTACCCCAGCCTTAGAATCAGCCATTTCTGCAAGGAGCCCTTGGTCCTTTTGTTGGGCAACGGTATTTAGAAACCAAGATCTAAATGGTGATGGCAGTGGAGTTGACATGGGGTTGTAAATACACAATACAACATACAGATGATGTATTGTAGAACTGTATACCTGAAACCTATCTAATTTTATTAACTAATGTCTCCTCAATAAATTCAATTAAAAATTAAATAAAAATTATTGATTCTTAAAAAAAAAAAGAAACCAAGATCTAGGAGCTAGGTGTGTCATTGCTACTGTGATGTCATTGCTTCTAGGCCGTCTCAGTGGACAGCACCTATAAATACATGCATGTGTACTAGCCCACATATACACACACCTATATTTATCTATATTTATTTCTATATCTATTTATGCATGTTTTTTAAAAATTGTGAGTTCATATTGATATCTGATTCCAATTCTGAACACTTCCTCTAATGTTTTATCCAATATCTCCCCAATGAGAGAGTCAAGAGAAATGAAAAAGGCTAATGTGTTTAAGTGGTTTCCAACTATTGTCTAGGCAATGGATCTGCAAACTATGGCCAATTGCCAATATTTTAAAAAATACTTTTACTGGAAAAAAGTTTTTTTTCTTTTGGAGCACAGCCACATCCATTACTTTAGACATTATCTCTGGCTGCTTTCCATAATTGAAAGAATAATAGAGTAATTACGACAGAGGCTGTGTGGGTCACAAAGCTGAAAATATTTTCTATATGGTCCTTGACAGGAAAAGGTTAGAGATCTCTGATCTAGACTAGGTTTCAAATTTTCATGTGGGAGGTGAAGTGGAAAGAATATGGGTTCAAACCCATCCTTCCTCCAATAATTACTAGCCATGTGGCCTTCAGCAAGCCATGGACCCTCTCTGCACCTGAGTTTTCTCCTTCTTTACCATATTTTGGGGGAGACTAGAGACCATTCAGTAAAATTGCTGGCACATGATAGATGCTCAACTAATGGTACTCAGAATTACCTCTATAGGTTGACTATTTAGAATTTAAAGTGGAATTCTACACACAAAGAAATCTGTTTTCAGGGGTGGTTAGATGACTGACATAGTCCACAGACTATATTTGGCATGGATTATGGTTTAAACCACAATCTTAAATGTAAGTACTGACTGCATCACTTACTAGCTGTGAGACCTTAGGCAAGTAAGAACATCTTTGAGCCCGTTTCCCTCTCCATACAAGGGCAATGCCTTCATGGCCATAAAAGTTATATCTATGGATGTCTTTATGCCATGGTACCCAACACTGGCAGGAGACCAAAGCTGGTATGCTGTATCAAAAGCACAATCAGGATGAGTTAGAACATATGCTCCTGGCCCTAGACCCAGGATTCTGATTCAGGAGGTAGAGAATAGGGTCCACACTAAGCACATTTAGCAAACACCCAAGGGGATGTTGTTGCAGGGCCAGGTCTGTGAACCACTGTTAATCAGTAGTAACTGCCACACAACTCCTCTGAGGCTTCATGTCAGCCCTACATCCTCATCAGTGTCCTACTACCTTCCTCTCACTCACGTAAATGCTTGGCCCATTAAAGTTGCTACAGAAGACCAAAACCCCCTTCTGAGCCACCACATTATATTTCTTTAGAGAAGATTAGGTCCTACTGGACTCCTAGAGCTAGTAAGATTCTCCATGTTTTAAAAGAAAATCTAGTCTATTCCTTAGACAGTTTCATATTCTACCACCCTCCCCAAAGTACCTGCTTCTCTTCATTGTATTAGGTCAGTAAACACAAAATCAAGAACCAGGTGGTGCCCTGACTGGTGTGGCTCAGTTGGTTGGACATTGTCCCACAAAGCATAGAGTTGTGGGTTCAATTCCCAGTCAGGACACATACCCCCATTGTGGGTTTTATCCCCAGGCTGGGTGTATATGAGATGATTCTATCACACATGGATGTTTCTCTCCCTCTCTTTCTCCTTCCCTTCCCCTCTCTAAAAATAAATAAATAAATAATCTTTAATATAAAAACACCCAGGCGATGTTCTATGTAGGGGAAAAGATGACCATGGACACTAGTAAGAATGAGAGAAAATTAAAGAAGTCTGAAAGGACCTATCCCACCATCCCGGACCACTTCTAGCTGAGCCTTTCACACTTTGCTTTGCTTGGCAGTGGGGCAGGGTAAGAAGCAGATACAGGACCTCCTAATCCACACATGGGACCTGCAGTAGGTGATGGGAGCTGGGGTGGAGATTCCTGGGGCCTTCTGGAAATGAGGAACATACATCATTTTGACATTGTGACATATGTCATGCCTAAACACAGTTATTAGGCTGGTACAACAGCTCAAAAGGCAAGACTCACTCTTAAACACCAACAGAGACCAGAAAGGATAGGTGTATCTGAAAGCAGAAATACAATGGGAGCTGTCAAATGCAGTGGTGCTCAAGAAGCAGCTTTCAAAGTATCTGAATCCTTCACCTGCCAATGCTTTTTAAAATTGAGGTGGCATTCACATAACATAAAACAAACCATTTTGAAGTGTGCATTTCAGTGGCATTGAGTATTTTCACAATGTTGTATAACCACCATCTATGTCAAGTTCCAAACTTTTCCTTACCCCAAAAGAAAACCTTGTACCCATTAAGCAGTCACTGCCCTGTTCTCCTGTGTACCAGTAGCTTTTTATAGTGAGGAGTGGATTTTCTTTATGAGATTATATGTAGCCACTGTTGAAGAGCTTTGGCAAACTTGGGGTTCAAAAGGCACAGGAACATTTTGTTTTCAACCAAGTGGCAGTCACTTCTTAAGGTAAGTGTTCCCTTCTCGTCACACCCCATCCAGTGGGAACAATGCCAAAGTCCAACACACACACACACACACACACACACACACACACACGCTAGACTGGTTGGTTTCACAATGGTCAATATCCATCAATATCATGAGAACAAGAGTGCATCATAATTGGTCTCAGGGGAACCTCTTAAGCACCCCACAGCCTGAGTGACTCCCCCAAATGTGTCCAGACAGAAATCAGCTCTTACCCGCTGCTTCTCTGGGTCCACATAACGAATGCCGAAATAGTCCTTCTCCAGCAAGCTGTAGTAGTTGCAGATGTGGTCAATAAGAAACTGCCCTTTGGTCTCCCTCTGCAAAGGAAGCACATTTAAGTTTCAGCCATAGCTCACCTTGTGCATTCATGCTAAAATGTGCCTCATTCACCCTGATAGGTCTGTTCTTAGATAAATGCCATCATGAATCAGCCATCCTCTCCAGTCCTTAGAGAGTAGCTTCCAAATTCTTTTAACTACAATCCACAGTGAGAAAATAGTTCACATTATAAGCTGTGACACACACATGCCCACACCAAATGAACACCAAAAAGGACACCAAACAATACCTTGCATAAATGCAGTGCACTCTAATATGTTCTATTTTATTCTATTATGTGTCATTTGATTCAGAACACTGATTTCACAACTCAACACCTAGTGGAAATCCACAGTTTGCAAATCCACATACAATGCATTTGACTGCTTGCTCCAATTGCTCTGTATTCATTCATTCAATCCCTGCTATCCTATGAGGAAGGTCCCCATTTTACATCTGAAGAAACTGAGGCACAGATAGGCTCTGTGGCTTGACCAAAGTCATACAACATGTGCCAAGCAAGGTAGGATTTGGCCCAGAGCACTGAACTGTAGAATCTTGGCTCCTATCATGCCATTTTGTCTCCCTGGAGCATCAGTGAGTCCACTGCAACTCTGCCAGAAGGCAGGGTCTGGATGGCTAAGAAATGTAGTGAATGGTATCTGACAGAACGCTCCTCACAGCCACCATATCACATCCCGAGATCAACACAGAAATGCATCTTGGGAAACTGGGAGGAGCCCAGGCTTGGGATTCAAAAACAAGCTCCAATGACCCTGGCAAACTCCCCAGAAGTAAAATAAGCTGGTTGCACTAGATGATTTCTAAGTTGGTTAGATTATTTTTCCCGTAAAATTCTATGAGTGAGAGATGTGTCAGCCAAATCTGATTAAGATAAATACCATTACAACAAAACCCTTTTAACAGCACAGACCCTTCCACGCCCTCAGCAGGATATTGGATAAGATAAATTTCTGCTTCAATCAAAGTTGCTGACAGACCCATGGAATGGTTTAGGGATGGAATGTGACCTATAAAAATAAATGAAGAAATTAGAAACATTAAGTGAGCCACTCTCCCAAATCCACTAAAAGTAATTTTGGAAGATCAGTTTGGCCTGCGTTCCATGATTATCTTTTCATTAGAAACTAGCACCATCAGCCTGGGAAAATTATGAAAAAGCCACTTGCTGGCCTGAGGTGCACTGCACTGAATGAAAGACTGGGGCTTTATTGTTTTAAAGATTTTACTTATTTTATTTTTAGAGAGAGAAGAAGGGAGGAAGAAAGAGAGTGAGAGGAACATCTATCGGTTGCTTCTCATATGAGCCTCAACTGAGAACCGAACCCATAACCCAGGCATGTGATTTTAAACCCATCTTGTGACATGAAGCCTCAATTTTCCTGAAATTACTTTGTGTTAAATTTTGAATGAGCTTTGAGTCTTTACTTCTTTTCTGAGAGAATCTATTTGATGTAGCTCAAAAGTGACAAAACATCAAAATGAAATTTGTTTTGACTTCTCTAATTGTTCTTAACTTAGAGGCCCAAATAACCAACTATATCTGATGACAGCTAAAGCCAATGCCCAGAATATAATCAATGGTTTTAGTGCCTTTTACAGATTTACTCTGTAATCCATCCATTTTAAAGAGGCTGCTGCAGAATCAAATCACTGGACAGAACACAAGCTCATCATTTTATGATTGGGTTACCAAGCTTTCTGCAGGATTCACTCTGGTGAACTGTTCCCACTCTATAGGAGACACCAGATATGCAGGTCAAGGCAATGCCTTGTAATGGTGTGGAATTAAGCAGACCTTGATTTTGCATGACAGCTACTATTAACATTTTTCCCTGAAGAAGATACATTGCAAAGCATGACAAAGATTTTTTTTTAATGATTAAACACAACAACCAATAAATACTCTCTGGCAATATCCCTTTAGACTACCTAAGGCCCTTGAGAGAAGGAGGTGCCACTGCAGACAATATGGCTACTGCAGTGTGCAGGTGTGGCTGAAGCAGGTAAGGCTAGTTCCCATATTTCCAGGCCACCAGGTAGGTTTTGTGGTTGCTGTTCCTCAAAGTACCTCCCTCGGCATCCCCAGGAGGGAGCTTGTTGGAAACAGAATCTCAGGCATAGCCCCAGACCTACTGAACCCAACCTGCAGCTTAGCACGATCCTCCAGTTAGTCACGTTTGTTCGAGTTTGAGCAACATTGGTCTAGGGAAATTACCTCAGCCTTGGAGAAGGGCAAAAACTGCCTGTCTCCAGGAGTTACTAGAAAATAAAAAGCCCATTTGCCCTTAGAATTATCTATTCCTCAGCTCAAAAAAAATCAAAGCGTGTCCCAGCCTTGGGAACACAAACTGCTGGCCCGCCCCATCATCCTGAGACATTTCGTATCACTGCTTCACGCCCAGGAAGCCAGCTTACGGCCTCGCATTCTGCTCTGTTTCATGTCTGCCTAGAAATCTGGACAGTGTTCTTACACCATTTAAGTTCCTATTATTAGCATTTCTGTGCAGTAAACCCAGCTCTTGCACTAAACCAAAGGCCACCCAGGCTCAGTTCCAAGGGTTGGCTATGCTCGCTCAAGGTCAGGTATGAGAGGGTTGGAAGTTCAGCTGCCAGCCCTACACACCTCGCTTCAGGGCAAGGGCTTGTAGAACACTGGTTCTGCTCCCTACCTCCCAGCCCTGGGCCTCTAGTGAACAGACCTAAAACCCCCACTTGCTTCCTCCTGAGGTTGCTGAGGGTGGAGGCCACTGCCCTGCTGCCTAAGCTAGTGCCTGGCACACCAGATGTTACTGAATTAATAAAGCTAGCACTGCTCTCTGTCATGGAGAGCCTGAGATCTGAGACTGTGAGCCACAGGCAAGAAAGTCAAGTCCTCGTATTGGAGACTTCTCAAACACAGTGGAATTAATCAACTTTCACCTAAATCCTCCAAGGTCTATGTGAAAAGTGGTTAGCAAAGATTTCAAGTACAAGGACTTCTTTTTCATGTCAAAATTCTGTTGATTCTCTCACAAGATCGCAGTTTCAATACCAACTGAATAGTGAAAAGAAATCAGGCAGCTAATATAGATTCTTTAGAGCTGTTACCTAAGTTGTGTTCTATTAATCAAAATACTTCATTCATATGAAAAACAGCAGGACATAAGTACGTGAGCAGGGTCTCAAGAACATGCCTTATGCATTGAGTTCTGATGCATCTCTAAATGAGGTTATACGGTCTTGAAAATGCACTGACATGGTTGAAAGAACAATTTCCTCACCACACACATTTATACTTGCGTCCCTACACTGGCACTCACCACCTATAGTGCACTATGAATTGCTATTTTTAATCAATGCTGTACTCAAATATTGTGGGGAAAATTGTAATTTTTAAAAATATGTTAAAAATCTAAGCCAATGTTAGTCAAGGTCTATGAGCTGTGCTAGAATATGAACTCTATTGCTGGTCCTCCATGAGCTAAATGCACCAATTAAGAGTGATTTATTTTTATTATGTTTACAAGGATGGATCCAAAGCAGACTGGACTAATGACATCTAGTACTGGCCTCTCGCAACAGAGAATCTGATATACTCTGATCTAACCTGTGCTGTTGACCCTTGGGGTTTCTGTTTTTTTTTTTACTCCAGGAACCTCAACTGGTGAAGTGGATGGGTCCTCTTCTCCACCTTCTCTGCCATATTTCAGACAATTTGTTTGGGGTCAGGCAGGGAGTTGTATCTCTGAACTCCTTGTAATAATCCCATATTCTCTCAGAGTCCTCCCCCATAGGTTGGAATGGAAACTAATTTTTGTCATCACAAACTAGCCTTCTTTTCAAAAAAAATCCTGAAGTACGTAGTAGAAAAATAGAACAAGTCACTATGTCCCTGTCTTGTTTCCACCACTTACCAGTTGGATGGCTTTCAGCAAGTCATGAAATCTCTGAGACTTAATCTCATCTTGTGTAAAAGGGAAATAATGATGGCATCACACAAGTCTACCCTAAGGAGTTACTTGGAGCTTCATGTATATATTTGGTAAACATCTACTGTGCACCAAGCATTGGGACAGAGACTAGAGCTAAACCGTGAGCAAAACACAATTTATAATGTCACAAATCTCAAAACCTTGCACTTTGTAAGATGTGAAAGCATTTACAACTGCAAAGCACTATACTAATATAAACTACCACTAATATTAAGAAGATCTTAATCTTAAATCTTTATCTTCAATTTCATAGATTCTTCTAGATACAAGGGAGTTGTATCTAGAAGATACACCTCTCACAATTGTCCTTTGTGGGAGAAAAGGTGAGCAGAGAGGTAAAGAACTTGATTCTTTTGTTTAATTCCTCTTGCGGTCTATCATTGATGATGCATTTACTTCAACTTCCGAGTCCGGGAGCAAACTTAAAACAACATTTGGGCTTAAAAGAGCAAGAAAAACCAATTGGCTAGTCAGCATGGCTTGTCATCATTGAAAACATATGACAGGTTTCAACCCATACTTCCTAAAACTCTATGCCAGACATGTTCCTCTTTTAGATATTGGTTAAGTGAGGGAAAGAGTACCAACCCCCAAATGCTTAATGTAATGCTATAAACCCAGACTTAGTGTTTAAATAACTACCTTCAGGAATGAAGGTATAACATAATCATGACAATTACTATCTATTAAACACTTACTGTACAGCAAGAGCTGTGTTACATATTTTGCATTTAATCTCCTGACAACCCACTGAGGTAATTATATTCTCTGCATGTTACAGATTTTTTTAATGGACTCAGAAATGTTATTTGTTTGTGTGTCAAGCCCAGGTCCAACACCTATGCCCAAGCTGTTGTAGGAACTCAATTTGCCTGTCTGCTTCCAGTCTTTTTGTGGAGATGGAAGAAAACAACATGTGGACTTGGGAAGAGTTTCAAGTGCCGCAGTTATGAGAATATGAACACTGGCAGGAAGGAGCCCCGGGTTATCTACTGTAACACCAG